ATCGATTTACATATGATTTGACCCCAAAATATTGATTTATATCGATCTAAATAAATCAATATTTTTACATGTCCCTGTGTTTACCCATATAGTTTTGTCACGGGGATAAATTTTTGGAGAAAGTCAATATTTTAGTAAATGTTTGGTCATTGTTGTGCACATAAGCATAGAAATGTTGTGCCCGTAGCAATCCCTGGATTTTTCGCTAGCCTATGTTATGATTAATAATAAATATTAGAACTTCGACTTTCATTTTTATAACTATATATTTAGATTCGTAAATAATAACGATAAATTTAGTTTTTTTATATAACGATAAGGAAATTAATTAATTGGCATATTAAAAGTAGGCCTTCAGTGGTACAAAGGGTGTGACCAGTAATTTGGACGTAACAAATAAGTATTTACTGTATATAATATATAGCAAATCCATCCTTTGTGTCAAATAGGAGGTGTCAGCTATAATCCTACACTTTAAAATTAACAAACGCGTTATTTTCATTGAACGTTAGGACTGTCAACAACCCTAAGTTGTAAGGAATTAGATATTTTTAACTAAAATTATTTATGTAGTTCGCAAATTTATAAAATTCTATACGAGACTAACAAGTCAATTTTATTTTTTTATACTTTTTAACAAAAATGCTATTATATTAAATTAATGCCGAATAAACCATTACTTTACTAAATTTGTAATGTCTTTTAAAATTGAAACCTTCATCGGGTTAAGAAACATCGGTTTGGTCATTTCTATTTTTTTTTTTTTTGATTCTGACAGTTTAGTATTCATTCTTATGGATACTGGTATCAATAGCTTCATTATTGACGATTGTCTAGAAAGATAAATCAACATTAATAATGACAAACATAAAGTTTGTGAAATTTATCATTTTCTTACTCGAATTTTGTTTATAACTTGGTAACACTGCAAAACAGTGCACAGGATGTGATGCATCGTGAAAGTTTAAATTCACCAATTAGGATCATGCGATAAATTCCATCGAAACGGAGGTCCATTACATAAGCTCTTCCCAGGAATCCTAGGAGAAAGTCAATTTATCAATGCAAAAAAAGGTGACATTCTTTGTCCACCTAGCAACTACTTGCAATAGTCAGTCTTTGTTCACCTACCAACTACTTGTAAGCCACATATATAGCTTGATTATCATCATTTTGCCAAGACAAACAAGATCTTCTGAAACGAGGGCATCTCTCGTGTTTGGTGATTTGACTTCACCGATAAGCAACTCTACATGTTTGTTAGGATTCGCCGTTCTAACAGTGAAATCAGGCTTCATGCCCATGAGAATTGGATCCAATCGTCTCTGTGAAAGTGCGGACGACTCACACATCTTGTTCGACCTGTGAATAAAAGCAAAAACAGGCTCATATCTTTAATATTATGGGTATAATATATTTATAAATTGTCAACAAATACCCTTCCAAGATTATTCTTCTATTATTTTTAAGGAAAGGTCTTATAACTAGTCAAATGCACAGCATTGTATGTCCGGAGTCAATATTTAATATATACACTAATACATACTATTATATTTAATATCAATACAGTAATATAAGTTGATTACGTATCTATTCTAGTTTTATTGTTTTTGTCGATCAGTTGAATTTGATTGGTTGAATATCACATGATGCGGCCGGACAAACTGACAACCATTTTTTTCACTTTGCATAAACATATAGCGTCCTCCGCTTCGCTCCGGACAATTATTGGTACAACACTTTGAATTATATGCATTTCTTCTATAACACGATTCCTTGTGAACGAAGACTGCTCATTGTTAATCCTGTAACAAAATGAGAGTAAGTTTATTGTAAGAAGAAATTCTGTTATTGCTGATCACAAACTATACAAATCTTCAAAGATCTCCAATATTATTTCTTCTTCGGTTGTAGTCTCAAAATTTCGTAAGTAACGCCTTATCTCATAAACCGTTTCTCCTGCAAATCTGCCCTGGAATTTTTTTTTACCAATATATCATGATCCAGTGATCAAAATTTAATGATTTTGATGCCATTCGATTCGTCTCGATAAAACAAATTGAATGGTGCCCAAATCATTAACTTCTGATCACTAGATCAAGAGATTTTTGCAAAAAGCAATTTAATTTGTAACAGCTCTACAGAAATTTAAGTTTTCTGCGCCGCAGATAGTTTTTTTGCGAATATCTCATGACCCAGTGAACTGGATTGGGTAATTTGATATCATTCGAACCGTCTCGTCGAGACGAATCGAATGGTATCAAGATCATGAAATTCTGATCACTAGATCATAATATATTAACATTTAAATAATATTTACCCTTAAATTTGCCCTGAAATGTTGGTAGCACTTGTATTACCTTATAAATTAATAACATTCCTACTGACTGACATGGCCAAAAATGGGGGACGTCTAAAGCGGAGGCAACTCATATTTAATAATTTTTTCGATTAACTTTAGGGTTAGGGTCTTCTATATTGGGATTAGGTTAGGTTTTAGTAGTTATTTATAAGCAAAATTGCCTTCCCGACATTTTGATTAACCTACCTGAGGTAGGTTTAGACTGCCGTTTTTTGGGTTTTTTGTTTTTTTT